AGTTGCTGTAGCTCCAAGTATCATACCCTCACGTAAAATCTTCCAAACCAGGAAGGGAGAGGGCAGCTCCTCACACATCTGTCTCTTCTAGTGAGAAGGACTGTCTTTCCCAGAGACCCTCAGCAGACTTCTTACCATTTTTTGGCTAAAACTGGGTCATGTGTCCATCCTGAGACCAGTGACCTATAAAGGGAAACAAGACTGTCATGACTAGTTCCAATTACGATTCAACCCCTGGGGCTGGGGGACCTGCACCAGGGGATGATTGATTTAGTTGTCTCACTGTACCCTTCTAGTCTGAATGCAGTAAAATCACTCTCTTCCAACAATATTTCTCTACCCCATTTCCTCTTCTGTAACATTTTCTCTCCCCTAGTTCCATGCCTCCGTGGGGGTCAGCTCCATGCACCTTCCCACCTCCAACGGTGTTTATCAGATTTCGTTCGTTCTAGCCAATTCTTCTCCTGGTATGTGACCCCAGCATCCTTTTCCCAGGACATGGGCCACCATCTTGATGCCTTGATCTCCCTCCATATGATTTTTCAGAACTGGCCTTAAAGGGAACTCCGCAAGCTTCTCACTTCTCTTTGCAGAGTTTTAGCTACCACAACTACCAGTATTGCTTTGGCCTTTTTTTTTTTTTTTTTTTCTCAACCAGAGGGGTCACGTCAGAGAGAGGAAGGTAAAAAGTTGAACACTTTCTCACACTATTTCTTTTGGCCTTTTTTTTTTTTTTTTTTCTCAACCAGAGGGGTCACGTCAGAGAGAGGAAGGTAAAAAGTTGAACACTTTCTCACACTATTTCAGTCTATTTGTTCCCCCCACCCTAGCCTCTGTCTTTCACCTCTGATTCTCCTCTCCCAGAATCTATGGCCTGACTTCTCTACCACGTCTCTTTCTACTTATTGCTGATCTGCTTCTTCCTTCTGGGTGACTTTTGCAACTAATTTTGCAGTCTCCCCGTCTTCCTGTTCCTACCTACCCCCGTCTGTTTTTCCCTCCCACCCCCTCTCCCCCAACCCTAACCTGGTCTACCTTTTGCCCTTTCCCAGGGTCCAAGTGAAGCAGATTTACTTCTGCTTTGCATCACAGCTTTCCTTGCCCCACCAGGCATATACACAGACTGGCTAAAGTATCCTAAGATTCTGGTCACAGGTGATGTATTCAGCTCAGGAGAAGTTACCAAGTCAGCCACCTCCCTGTGCCTCCCTGCTTCCTGCCTGCCCCTCTGCCCTACTCTGACTGACACTGGTTCATGGATAAGTCTGAGCTGCAGTGGTTTCAACACTCACCTCCTTCAGTCAGGCTGCAGTGGACCGTCTTTGCCAATTTCTTAATGACTTCTTGAGTGGCTTCCCTAGGTTTCGGGTCACGCTTGGTGATTTGAAACTCCTAGCCTCCTCCCCATTCTCCTACGAGCTGAGACTTGACCTGTGGCCCAGGGAACCTATGGCAGAGATGAATCTAGTCTACATTTCTTCCCATCCTTCTGGGTTACACCGCCCTAGGTTTTGGGGGGGGGGACACTTCCCTCTAAGAGGGAAAGGTTCCTACTCCCATGGCCATCAATGTCTCCCTTTTATAAACCTTTAAAAACTTGTTTTGTTAATTAACAAAATTTTACTGCTAAGAAACCTAGTTCTCTAAAAATCACAGACTGGGAGCTCCCTGGTGGTCCAGTGGTTAGGACTGCGCACTTTCACTGCCGGGACCTGGGTTCGGTCCCTGGTCAGGCAACTAAGATCCCGCAAGCCGTGTGGCATGGCCAAAATAATAATAATAATAATAAATTTAAAATAAATAAATAAAATAAAATCACAGACTGTTAGCAACGTGGCTATTTGAAATCCCATCAGTGAGAATGGAACATTCCTCTGCTGCTTGAAGGCTCTGGGCAGGAACCTGTGACACAGAGAAGCAGCCTTGCTTTTCAGCCCCCAAGAGCTTCAGATAAGGAGTTTTCAGGCACGAAATTCTACCTTTATCTTTATTTTGTATTTTCCAAAGAATCGGACCCCGGGTCTGCTTCTCAGCCCAGGCCTGAAATTGAGCTCTTTCCACCCAGGCCTGCTGTGCTTTGAGCCTATGAAATACTGTTTCATCAGAGCATCACCTAAACGTCACCCTTACCCCAAACCCCTAATAACCCCGTCTCTTCTTTCGTGAGATGCCCCACGCTTCCTCTGGAATGGGGTCTCCTTTGCTCCAGCAAGAAAATGAACGTAACTTTGTTGGGCTGCAGTTGTGTGAGACAGGCTTCATCACTCTGTGAGTGAGGAGACCTGTTATCTAGCTCATGCGTTCTCAGAACAGGCAGTATTGCTCCCAAAGATGTGAAAATTAGTTCTGGGGGAGCCAGAAAGTCTAACAGTGGTTTGTGGCCTTCCAAAAGGCACACACATAAACAGATACATAGTATGTCTGTTGTATTAAAATTTCATGGGCCGGGAGGGGAAGGCTCCTTGAGGGAACAATGATACAAAAGTTTGAGCAACAGCGCTTTAGCTAATACTGAATAGCTTTTGGTGTCTTCTGTGAGTCAGGTACCCGGGTGCTGGCTCTCTTTGGCAGCTAGAATTGAGTTCTTCTGACGTCGGTCTTGGGAGACCCAACCTGGTTTGACCTCTCCCAGCACCCCAGAACTCCCCCACTCAGCCCTGTTCCTGCGATGCCCTCATCCATGGGAGCCTCATACCTGCTTGCTCTGGCAGATGGGGAGAGTGCCTGGTGCCTCGTCATTCACACATGCGCGCCCACACCATCTCTCTGCCCGTCTCCCTCCTCTGCTTAGATGGGCACAGGGCAGCTGCCCCAGAACACGTGCTCTACTCCTTGAGCACCCCTTTCCCTTCACTTCTGAGAGGTATGGAGAACACTACAACTCTGCCCTCACCACCACCCAGCCTCTGATGACTTTTCATCCTCCCCACCCGTCAGCCTTCAGTTTACACAGACTGGGTAGGGGTGGGGTCCTGGGTGATAGCTGGGGGCAGCAAAGCCAGCTGAGCTGCCTCGTCTTCCTCGGTGTAAACTCTGGGGGAGGATTCAGGCTCCTGTTCTCCATGGCTCTCTCTGGAATGCGGGGTTTCCAACTCTTCTTTGTCCTCACTCGTGAGTCCTTGCTACCACTCCTGGAGCTGCAAGACTCCACGTCACCACTGTGCCCTTTCTGAACCACGCAGACCCATGTTCACATCAAGGTCTGAGTGCCTTAGGACAGACAGATGAGCCATGGGACAGAGGGACAGCTCATGCTTTCATCTCTGTAAAGAGACGATGTCTCTCTCCCTCCACCTGAGACCCAGTCCCCATCCACAGCCAGTCCTCATTCCCCAGCGACCTTAACCTCAGGGAGAAAACAGATGCTAAAGACGTTAGTATTGAAATCCCGGAAGTTCTGAGCGCAGCCATCTGCACACAGTAAGTGCGCCATAAATGTTTTCGAACTAAAGCTGACCGGGACTTCCCTGGCGGTCCAGTGGTTAAAACTCCGAGCTTCCACTGCAGGGGACGCCGGTTTGATCCCTGGCCAGGGAACTAAGATCCCACATGCTGTGCGGTGCGGCCAACATAAAAAAGTAAAGTAAGAGACTTCTTGGTTTGTCATTTAAAAAAAAAAAGCAAACTAAAAAAAGAAATAATAAAGCTGACAGTGCAAACAGGTGCCAGCATTTCTCTGGTTGCTTTCCCAGGGGAGGAGGCCCAGACCAACTCTTTCTAATGCATCACCCCTCGGTGGAAAACGAAAAATTACTAAGTGATCACAGTTTGATAAAAATAGCTCTTAAGAACACACATTTGTCTTTGTAGTAACCCGAAGTCAACTGGGCTAACTAATTCTCTTCATTTATTTTTTTTCCAAGAGGGTTTCTTTACTGGGAGGAGGATGTATCCACACAAATAGTCCATCTGCTTTGCATCTAGTTCTGGTTCTCTTTGTGGCCTGTTTACATTTGTCCTGGTCAGAGTGCCTCAGCCGACTCTAGAAGTCTGACTGGGCCCAGTCACGGCGGGTGACACACAGCTGGTGGCAGAGTGGCTCAGGGACCTGAGTTTCAGAGTCAACTAATTTCAGCTTCCAGTCCTGCTTCAATCACTTATTGGCTATGGGATCTCAGGTGAGAGACTTCACCTCGCCGGGCCCATTCCCTCACCTGTAGAATGGGAATAGTCATAGTACCTGCCTCACGGCTACTGAGAAGATTAAAGACAATGTAAGGCTAAGCCCTTAAGATAGGTTAGC